CCTGCGAGCTCGGTGGCGTAAATTGTAATAGCCCGAGCTCTTGCATTTATCGGGGAGCCTATCTTCTGGGACGATGAAGAAAAAACAACGATGAATTAGCTGTTTTGTCGTTTAACGGCGCGGTGGGGAGTGACCATGTGTGGGCAAGAGTGATGCTGACGGCTGGTATTGTTTTTACAGCGCGGTGACCATGTGTTTCCTTGGCCAGAAACTGGGTCGTCCCATCTGGCCGGCCGCCTAAGCAGGGAGGGGAGGGGGAGCTTATTAGTGTGTCTGTTTACGAAGCTGTTGTCAGACCCCTATCAGCTCTCATTCTGCCTTTTTGTCAGCCCGTATAATTATCTGTGAAGTCAAACCCACAGCGGGTAGTGACTTATGCCAGTGATTTATTGCCCTGCCGAACGACCTGTTTGTGCCCACATCTTCGTGAACTGAGCCCTCCTGCTGTCTGGCCTGTATAATGTTAAGGACATTCGTGGCAGAACATTTGATAGGCTATAACATATTGTTCGCCTGTGTCCAGTTGGTCCGTCATCTACATTAACGGTACGCACTAGATGTCGGCAACTGGACGAAACTCACGCCAGAATTCGATAGTGCGTGTAGTCGTTTCTTATACGGCTGCTATAGTATTGCTGGCCCGCCTATGCACCTTCCGTGGGGACGTACAGATTCAGCAACAGAAATTTATTTAGATAACTGTTTTGTACTAATTGGTACAGTTCCTGTTTTCGTCCCTCCGAGTTGCTGCAGTCTGTTTTTAGCCCTTGAACGAAATATACCGTTTAACTTGCTGTGATACCTACGGATCTCGGTCATACTAGGCTTCCTCTGCTATATCGTGGTGCTAATATAACCATCTAGTTTGCACGTGACTGTCGGGCCGTATTTTCCTCCCATATAGACCGAATGCCGGGAAGGTGCTGGTAAGTCGTTTCTGAAAGCTTGATAGCCTGCTCTACTCAATCAGAACGAAAATGTAGTCCATCTGCCGATCACAAACGTGGGCTCTTAGTGTTGGAAAGCGACTTATTCGGCTCTTGTAAGACAAACTGTGTAACTGGATTGTGATTGGGGAACCCATCAGTGTTCGTTTGATTTGTTCATTTGCTTTGCTCCTGAGGTTAAAGCGATTTTTTTCGATGCTCATTTTAAAAGATCCCTTGGTTCGGAATTGCTTATGTGCTCCTCTACCTCCCGGCAGGACACAGGTATAGGAACCCTCCCCTTATGCCTCTTAATACAGGTGGTCTTGCGTTAAATTCCAGGAGGGGTATGAATTCCCCTGTCCCAAGACTGACCCAAACCTTAATCGTAGCACCCAACCTTACTTCAACTGTAACTCTAGCATTAATTCTCATTCT